GGCGGAAATTTTTGCCCTCGTAGGTTTGACCAAATTGCCAACTATTAGGGGCAACGTTCGATGAAACTATGGTTCTGCCATCGCCAGTGGTTATACGGAAACTTAGTGCCTCGCCAACAAGGGTTGCATCGGTATCCCACTTGGTACCCCAATTACGATTCAATTCTGTCCAATAATTCAACTTCTTGTCACCTTTGACCTCCACCTTTTTTACACTTCCTGCCCCTCCAACGTTGGATATCGACACCAGGTTGAAATTAGGACTCCCAGTTACGGTAAATTTAATGCCTCCTTGTTTCTTGCAATGAACCCTGCAACAACATTCAAAATTTGATACTATAGTTTACGAAAATACGTTTATTCAATATTATAGTATTCTATACCTGCGAAATAGAATAGGAACAACGCCAGCAGCGTGTTCTGCAATCTGAGTAAATGCAGGCTCGGACAAGTCGAAATGGCGGGCTGGTGGACTGCACCAGCCGCCGGGAGGGCAATAATTGGTGGCAGTAACAAAAATGGATGGTGTTCCCGGTTTGCACATTTTGTTTTTGCTGTCACATTTGATTTCATAGCAAGCTCCACAATTTGACCCGTTTTTGTACAATAGAGAGCTCAATGCCACTGTATGCAACCCATATTCTTTTATCGGGTTTTCGAAACCGCAGGCACCTCCTGCAAAAAGAAGAGGATGACAAGGTTTTCTTCATGCCTCTCACACACTAACACGGATAAGGTTTGACAGGAATTTTGAAACGTCAAAATCTGCTTCTAAAATTAAGAAGTTACTTTTGAATATATTTATATAATTATTGAGTGACAAAAGAGATTTTAAAAGAAACAAGCTTAAAGCAGGTGAGGAATCTCTTCTACAAGAAGCAAAGACAGGACATACCCACAGTTCCCGAGGCATCGGCTCCACCGTAGAAGGTGGCACGACCATTCTTCCACCGTTTCGAAGTTTTACCTATGGTGAGGGCATTTGCAATAGGNNNNCTATGGTGAGGGCATTTGCAATAGGTAATGCAAGCACAAGAATCAGCAAAGAAGATGACACAAGTGCTCGCAAAATACCTGCCATAGCTTCTGTTCAGTTATTTGAATTTTTCTATGTCGCTCATTGGTTTATATAGCTGCTCCAAGAATTGATGGACACCATGCATTAAATTAAGCTCGATTGCCAATAGTTACTTCCTAATTTTAGATTTCTGTTGAGAAATCACCTCTTGTACCACAAATCTGGCGAAAAAGATTCAACGGTATTCCTTGTAAAATAAGGATTTATATTTTGAAAGCTAAGATGAGTACTATTTTTAAGAGAAAATTACTGTTAATATTTATTCTTATTGAATAAATTGATATGCATCCACTTAATATGGAGAAATTTACAAAAAATGCAACCCTGTTTATGATATGTACTTACAATTTACACAGTATATTTTAGATTGTGGTAACAAAAGTTTAAAAAAATTGAAAGACATGTCATTAAAATAGTTAAATACTGATGGATACGTGGAGTCAGT